GTTACATTTACCCCCCCACACCGAAGCTGATATTGGGGTTTTTTAACTCAAAATCCACCTTTGCTCACGGTGGGGCTGACCCGCCCTTTCCCACTGCCCAAACTGCTCAGTTTGGGGTTTTTTTTTCCCCCGATCTTCCACTTATTTATTAGTTGTGAAAAATGGCCTAAAATCGCTGCTGTCCTACTTGTTTTCCCGGTTTTAGCCCCAAAACGCCCATCCCGTGCTCCGTGGTGAGGGGGGAGGTTGGGGGGGGTGGGGGTGAGGCCCAGACCCCCCCGCACCTCCTCTTCTGGGGGGAAAAGAGGGGAAAGCGAGCACCATGAGATATTAAAAAAATGCTATTTCTGTGTTTTGTGTGTGGAAAAAGGGCAAAAATGACCTCAAAATGGTGGGGGGAGGAGGGGCTCCCCCCAAAATGGGGGGTGGGAGCTCCCCGCTGACCCCCAGCCTTTCTCTCTCCCCAGAGCCGGGGTGCTGAGGGCGGAGAGACCCACCCCGCGGGTGCAGGTAGGGATGGTGGTGGCCACATGCATGTTGTAGGTGTCACACGTGTGCTGGCCCTCTACATGTGTGTCCCAGCCCCCTGCACATGTGTGTGCCCTGGTGTGGCACATGTGTGTCCCCTGTGTGTCCCAGCCCTCTGCACATCCATGTCACATGCATGTTGTGGCTCTCTGCACATGTATGTCCCACACATGTCATGCTTGCCACATGTGTTCAAGTCTCCTGGACATGTATCCTGGCCCTTTACACACCCAGGGCTGCTGCGTGTCCCAGACTGCCACACACATGTGCTGGTCTGCTACGTGTGTCCTATGTGTGTCCTGGCCCTCTGCACATGTGTCCCCACGTGCCCCAGCTCTGTGCACATGTATGTCCTAAGCATGTTCCAGGTATTTGTGTACATGTATGTGCTGGGTGCACACATCCCAGCCCCCTGCACATGTGTGTCCCCATGTGTGTCCCTGCTCTCTGCATGTGTCCCAGCCTTCTACATGTGTGTTCTCATGTGTCCCAGTGCTCTACATGTGTGTCCGTATGTCCCAGCCTTCCACACACACATGTCCCCATGTCTCAGCCTTCTGCACGTCCCACATGTGTCCCAGCCCTCTACATGTGTGCATCCCAGCCTTCTACATGTGTGTTCATGTGTGTGTCAGCTCTCTGTACACACATGTTCCCATGTGTCCCAGCCCTCCGCCCACCTGTGTCTGCTGCGTGTCCTCGCCCTGCGCAGATGTGTCCCAGACCGCCATGCACACATGTCCTGGCCTGCTACACGTGTGTCCTAGCCCTCCATGCACGTATCCCCTGCATGTGTTGTCTGCACATATGTGTTTCTGTATGTCCCAGCCTTCCACATGCATGTTGTGGTCCTCTTAGAGGCGTCCCATGCATGTCCCAGCCCTCTGTACATGCCTCATGCATGTCCCAGCCCTCTACACATGTGTCCCTGTGTCCCAGCCCTCTGCACAGACATCCCACACGTCCCAGCTCTCTACACGTGTCCCTGTGTGTCCCTGCTCTCTGCACACGCATGACCCATGCATGTCCCAGCTCTGCACGCATCTTATGCATGTCTCAGCCCTCTGCACATGTGTGTCCCTGTGTGTCCCAGCCCTCTGCACACGCGTGTCCCCGTGTGTCCCAGCCCTCTGCACACGTGTGTTCCTGTGTGTCCTGCCCTCTGCACATGTGTGTCCCCGTGTGTCCCAGCCCTCTGCACACGTGTGTTCCTGTGTGTCCTGCCCTCTGCACATGTGTGTCCCCGTGTGTCCCAGCCCTCTGCACATGCATGTTCCTGTGCGGCCCAGCCCTCTGCACACGCGTGTGGCGTGCGGCCCAGCCCACAGCAGCTCCCCCCCCCAGCCCGCAGCCCCTGG